GTTTTCTAAATACTATTTACAAATGAAAACAGACTTGCCTGGGGCAGTGGCTGATTTCAGAACCACAGATCCTGAAAACTGTGTATTGGAGGATCTGATGTAAGAGAGCAAGAACTCAAAGTGAAACGGAGGTGCGACAAAAGGGCAGGGGGACGAGTTCCAAGGGTCTTTCGGGGCAAATCTACTATCACATGAAAAGTACAAGGAAGATGTGAAGATTTTTTATTTTTAAATAAAAGAGTGTCAATTAATAAATGAGGAAGGAAGATGGAAGTGAAAAAAAAAGTCATTATTTTACAGTTCCAAGTGGAATAACTGATGTCGAGGATGGTCAGCGGCGCCCATTGTGAGAAATGGTTTAGAAAGAAAACAGACACAGGACTTTCACATTCAGGCTATGTAGGAATATAAAAAACCAGACATAGAAAGGTGGGGCAGTGACCAGGAACCATCTTAACCAAATGGTGGACCTTAGAACTAGCCAGGAGATGTGACAGCTCAACATTGTGTGCCTTCTGATGTGATGAAATGCAAAGTTTGCAACCTGAGTTATTTCTGCCAATTAGACTTCAGTTCTCAGGCAGTGTAGATGCTAGAAGAATGGGTTAGTGAATCTATGGTAAATTATCAGACAAATGAATAATGCGGGATGTCTTATAAGACAGTCAACCTAGGCTCTTCACAAAACTCAATATAAAAGATGAAATCTTAAAATATATCTCCTCTGAGGTTACCTCTTCTAGAAATGGCTGCATAAGCAAGACATGAACAATGTAGTATCAATAGACATGCTAATGAGGAAGGGGAGAAGTCTAGGGTCCTATCCCCAGACAAAGAACTATAGGCAACTACTGACTACTGAGAGAGGGAGAATTAGCCTCTCTCAGGGATGAGCCCCCTCCCTGGTTACCCAATACAAAGCGGTCAGATCTGAAACTATACATACTCAAACAACAAAAACGGACTTAGCAGGTTGTATTTACATATTAGTGTGTGTAACAATGATACAAAAAAATAGAGGCTATCAATTTGAGGAGTAGTATGGGAGGTGTCAGAGGGAGGGCCTTGACATAGGAGGGGCTTGAGGGAAGAAAGGGAAAGGGGGAAGTGATTTAATTACATTTTAACTAAAATGCGCTAAAAAGAAAATATATTACAAGGATAAGATAGCCAAATGCAATTAAAACCACTGGAGAAGATCTTAGCTTGAGTGAAAAATATTATAGAAAGAGATGGAATGGTAGGGATTTGAATAGCCAATGGATATTAGTTGTTATTTTTTTTAAAAAACCAAGTTTGAAAATAAAATTGAGAGCTGAGTTTTTGATGTGTGCTGATGTTATTGGTATGTAGGAAACATTCCGTCTTCTCAGAGATGCATGATGAATAGTTTAGCAGTGAAGAAAAAATGTCTGTAACCCTTTTTTCAAACAGGACAGACCAAAAAAATGTGTAATAAAGGACACACGCTCAAAAGCATGCATAACACTGTTGTGATTGTCACAGATTGGAGTGTATGGTGTATTATTCTTTCAACATTTGTGTTAGATTTCTTAAATAATCTGGAAACGACTAGAAACAAAGCATAGCAAATATCTTAGGGGGCAGGCAGTCTGATGGGCTCAGCTGTGTTTGGACCTCCCTAATGATGCCACAGCCCACCTCATCTGTCCCTCAAACTCTTGTTTCTGTTTGTGCACACAGCAGAACACCCAGGAGTGTACAGTGCATGGCGAGCTTAGTGCTTTCAGCCAAATTTTGAGGTGCTGTGTAGATCCCCTGGGAATCTTACTAGAGAAGCTTAAAGCAGAGCTTTTTAACATGTCCAGTGTCTATGATGTTGTAGGCATTCAAAAAATGGTTGGCTAAAAGCAGGTGTCAAACAGGATAATCAGGCTTGAGGCTTGCCTGGAAAAGCAACAGCACCAGAGTGACATTGTTCAAATCTAGCCAACCACTTGTGGAGCTTAATAGAATTGAACTTGTGAAAGTTAAGTAAGGTTAACATTGGCTCCAGTAAAGGCACTGCCTGTTTTTTCAGGCTTCGTGCATGTTTTTCAACTGTTTCGACTTTGAATGATGGTTCTTGCTTTTCTGACTTCATGATCAAAGCGCTTCAGTAGAAGTTTTTCCTACACTTGGGGAAAATGTGGGTTTGGTGAGACATCTTCAGAGGGTGGCATTTGCAACCATGGTGAGCTATGAGTCTCTCGTCACTTAATTATGTAAAAAAAAAAAAATACTGCAAGAGAGCAGTTGCATAATCCCCCAGAGAGTAATTATTGCCCGTCTTGGCAGAATGCAAGGCTTTTAATCTGTAAATAAGCGATTCTGTGTGGAGGGGCAACCTGCAGAGTGGTGTGTGTTGTGAAGGTCTCATGAATCTTTAAAGGGACCAGCAGTGGCTGCAGGTGCTGATTGGTTGCTGTGTGCATGTCGAAGGGTTGATGATGCTTCCCTTGTGGTTTTAACCCCTCCTGAAATATTTAAGCCTCTGAGAATGATTCCTGTAAAAGGTGTCTAAGTTAAGTCCATGACAAATCTGAATGCAGAGAAAGCAAGATGAGCTTTCTCCAAATTTATCAATACATGAAACCAAAACAAGATACAATATTGACTGTCAGCACTTTGGGAACAAATAAAAACAAAGATGCAATAATTATCTGATATGTTACTCATTTATTGGAGTTTTTTTTCCCTGTTCCTTGGTTTTGAGATGGTCTCATGTAGCCCAGGCTAACTCTGAGCTCACTGTATAGCTGAGGATGACTTTGAACTCCTAATACTCCTTCTATTGCCCATGTAAGTTGGGATTACAGGCATGTACCACACCAGCCATCAGAAGATTAAGTTTATGAAATTATTTTGGTATTATTGACATATAATAAGCCACATTTATTTGAAGTTTTGACATAAGTACATAAAAATTTAAGATGTATACCATGGCAGCTCATATTTCCAAAAGAATTAATTTACCAAGCTGAGAGTGGTCATTGCTTATGTCTGTAACATCAGTGCTCGCTTGAGAAACTGAGGCAGAAGGATTATTTTGAGTTCAAGGCCATTCTGGGCGACATAGTGAGTTCCAAGTTAGCCTAAGTGACAATTTAAGAACGTGTCACAAACAAGCAGGCAAGCAAACAAACCCAGAATTAATTTGCTTCTGAGATATGTGTGTAGGTGGATATGTGTCTTTTAGATATCAAAAGTGAACCCCAACATCTGGTTCTTGAGTTGTCCATAGATAGCATCTTCCTGTTCACTTCCTGTTCCAGCTGCATGGATGAGCTCAGCATGCTCCAATCCAAGGTCAGCCTCTGCATCCCAACATAGGAGCCCCTCGCCTTTGCTCAAGGACTTCGGTGTATAACGATGCCTCTTTCTGGGTAACCTTCTGATCCCCGTCATGTTTCCCTTTGCAGTGCCCCTCCACAGCCTCTGTCCTGCCTCCACTTTCACTCCCCCCAACCCCCCCCCCCCCCCCAGCAGGATCTGCTCCAAACAATCTTTGCCCCAGGCCTGGTCCCATAGATCCTCCTACTGTCAAGGAGCCTATAATCTTCACTGCCAAGTTCCCTAGGCAGTGCTAATCTCCATCTTCCTGGGCCCCTGGAGCACCTGACTTAGTTTGTCTCCCCCTATGCTTTACATGGCTTTGGGGAAACCTGCTCTCCTGAATTCTCTCTCCGCTTCAGCACTGGCCACTCTTTCTCAGACTCCTTTGTGGGCTTCTCTTCTTGATCTCCTAAGGCTTTGTGGCCCAAGTCTGCCTCAGTCAATGTCAAGGTTAATGCTCTCTCTAAAGTGGTGGTTCTCAACATGTGGGTTGCGACCCCAGGGTGGTCTCATATCAGATATTTACATTACAATTCATAACAGTAGCAAAATTACAGTTAGGAAGTAGCAACAACGTAATTTTATGGTTGGAGGTTACCACAACATGAGGAACTGAAATAAGAGGGGGTCCCGCAGCATTAGGAAGATTGAGAACCACTGCTAAAGATTCCAAGACTTAGGTCTGAAGTCCATACCTCTATCACCTGGGCTGTAGACTTACATATCCAGTTACTGACAATCAATGGCACCTCAGATGTAACACAGTGGGAGTGTACCTGTGTTTGTCCACAGTCATGTCTCCCTTGGTCTTAGGGCAGTAGCTCCTGTGTCCCTGCCTTGTGCTTACCCCAACGTCCTTCAATCTGCCTTCAACACGGCAGCTCCTGAAAGACCCTTAAAAGCCATTGCATTTTGTCTCACCTTTGGCCCAAATATCTGGGATTTCCCATATCAGAATAAAGGCTACCCCAACAGACCCTCCCTTGTCTGATCCCTCCCTTTCCAGATTGCCTTTATTTTTCTCCCCAGCACACTCTGCTCTAGTGTCTCTTCCAGACACTCCTACCTCAGACCACCTTACATCTCTGTCCCCACTCTCTGTAAGATTGTTTCTAATCCTAGGTAAGCTCTACTTACCCCTTGCTCTCCAGATCCCTTCTCCAGGCACCATGTACAAATATAAATGAACCATTTAATTTAGGGGTTTGCTTCCATGTGTGTGCTTAGGTGTCATCTCATATTGCAATGTAAGTTTCAAGAGGGGACAAACCATGGTTGTCTGGTTACAGCCAGTTCAAAGGACTGCTGGCTGGTCAAAACCTCTCAGGTGGCTTAGGATGCTGGGTATTGCGTATTGTCACTGCTGTGCAGAGTCTAGATTTGAGAAAGACATGAAAACAGAAGGGGGTGGGTGTTTGCAAAGAGGAAGGGAACTGGAAGGTGGCGGGGGTGGGGTGGGGACAAGAGAGGACAATAGGTGATGAATGTGACCAGCATATACTATTTACATGGAGAACATTATTTTGTATGACTCACAGACACATGAAATGATAGAGCAAGAAAAAAAAAAAAAGCACAGACTGGTTCTTCCTTGACCCTTTTATAGTAGCATATGTGTCACACTCAGAGGAATTCACTGCAAACTGTTGTTTTCTCTTCCTCAGTTTCTCTGTCTGAAGAATATCCGGACATTTCTGTCAGCCTGCTGTGAGACGTTTGGAATGAGAAAAAGCGAACTTTTTGAGGCATTCGACCTGTTTGATGTTCGTGACTTTGGAAAGGTACTGACTGTCTGCTTTTTAATTGTTTTTTGAAACACGGTTCTGGGAATTGAACCAGAGTCTTGCATGTAGGTAGGCAAGTGCTTCACTGTTGAGCTACATCTCTAGCCCTTGCCTAGCATTTAATTTTTCTGCTGGAGAGTATTTGACCAAATCAAAGAGGTCGGTGTATCTGCATTGTATATTTGAATGTCACATGCTGGTGGCTTAGCAGATAAGAATAAGGTGCATTCCAGAGAACAAAATCAAACAGCATCAACAACACTGGAAGTGAGTTCAGAAGTCCTTGGTGATTTAAAGCAGGGACACCTCTTATCCACAGGTAGTCCTTCCGACTCTTGCCTCCTCCAAGGGTGATTGCCATCCCTCATGTCCCAGGGCCAATGTGCTCCAGCCTTTTCTCTGTCTGCAAGGCATCTCACTTTTGGAAGCTGAAAATATGAAGTTGCCCTGTTCTCAAAGTAAAAACTTTGAACAATTATTTGGAAAAAGAAATGAAATGTGGGTATGGGGTAGTGCTCGGTCAAACCCTGGGCTTCATACATACTAGGGATGTACTCTCTCTGAGCCCCAGCACTACTGTGAGATTGTTGAATTGCTTGCATTTCAGTGATATTTTTCACATGGAAAATGGTTTTAATATTTATATTATTTGGTGAACACTAAGCCCACAGTGAAAGAAATCATATTTTTGGTCAGGTGAGATTACTCAGTGGGTACCCATGCTTACCACCAAGCCTGATGGCCTGTGTGTGATACCCAGGACTTGTGGGGGAGAGAAGTGACTCTTGTGAGTTGTCTTCCGACCTCCACATGCCAACCATAGAATTTGGCACCCCCCCATAAATTAAAGTTAAAATCATACTTTCAAAAATTACAGTCTTATCTGTGGAGTGAGATGAACTTAAACTCCTTTCCTGTGAGTAGCCCTGAGTCAGTTAACAGCATTGCATTATGATAGTAGGCATGTATGAAGAGAAAGGAAAGTAGGCTGAATCTGGGGTGCAGCTCTGTGCTTCAAAGCCTGTCTGACATGTGCAAGGCTTTGGTTTTGATCCTTAGCTGCAAGTTGGGGTGGGGTGGAAAAAGCTAAGTTCTTTCTCTTAAGAATTTTTTTACTTTATTTGTATGAGTGCTTTGCCTGCATGTTTTTCTGTGCATGTACCTGCCTGCATGCACCACAAATGTGCCTAGTGCCCTCAGGGCCCCTGGAACTGGAGTCACAGATGGCTGTGAGCCACCATGTGGGTGCTAGGAATCCAACCTGATCTTCTGTAAGAATAACGAGTATTCTTAACCTCTGAGCCATCTCTCCAGTCCCCATCCTTATTCTTTCATTTGGTTATTAGTATCTCCCCAAATATCTGTCTGAGATTGGCATTTCCCTCAACTTCGAAGATGTAATATTTGGCCATGCAACAAGGGCCAAGCACTGGATGGGTTTTCTTGGCAAAAACTTGTCACAGAACTATTAGAATTTTCATGCTGATGTAGAGCAAAGATGGGAAGCTTTTTCGTGTGGGGAGGGTGAAGGCTCAGCCTCTTTCTGGCTTAGACTAGAGTCAGTCTGTGATCTTTGAACAGTTCCCAGCCTTGTGGGTCATCAGGCTTTTTGCCAATGCGGATGAAAATGGAGGGGGTGACAACATGGATTGCCTTTTATTTCTCACTGTCTGTCATTTAACTGTCTGTCATTTAACTGACTTGGGGTCACAAGTGAAGTGACGGAGGGTAAAACATGGTAGCATAAGGAACGGGAAGCCAGGCCATGAGTAAGCAAAGGGAATCCTGCTTGGGGCTGTGCTGTCCCGCCACTGAAGATAGGGAAATCAAGTGGAAGTCCAGATGGTGGACACCGTGCTACGCTGCTGTTCTGGAAACGATGAGAGTTGTTCCTATTTTCATCATTCTCCAGTCCTGTCCCTAACCCGTTTGAGGAAATGGAAAACGAAAATGATTTAAGGAAATGAAAAATGAAAAAAAAAATTGTCTTTTTAAAGCTTACTAAGCAGCCTCCCCCCATTTAAGTTCACAAGATAGTTTGATAAAGATTGGAAAGTTACAGAAATACCTTTAAAAATGCATGGGTTCGTTTTAGTGGAGTTATGTGGCTTGTCTGATTGATTAGACAATAGAAGCTTTGGACGAAAGCTGAGATTCCCAAAACTTGAATGTAAACGAATGAACTCTTTAGCTCTTGGGGACAAGCAAATTCTATTTCTGGGTTCTTAAAATGTTTTGACAGTGGTAAGACTGGGAAAGCATAAAGCCTGGGTTGGTGGTTTGGACTTGAATCAGTACTGGCTACTCTACAGTCCTCAGCTTTTGCTGGTGTCTGTATTGGTGACCTGTCTCTTCAGACGGTGTTTAACATAAACTGGCAGAAAAATATCATTGTGTTACTACTATTAAATACTCTGAGTATAATGATTAGTGCCATCAGTTACTAAGCACAAAGCTGGCTTTAAATTTTTTTATGTATATATTAACTTTTAATTCTTATACAGACATATAAGGGAGGCACTAGGATTTTCCTCATTATGCTAGTGAGGAAATCTGCACCTCAGATCACGTATCTAATATGGGATGGAGGAAGGGTTTGAACTCAGATCTGGCTGATTCTCTGCACTGTGCTACAGTACAAGCATGGTTACCTGGCCATTACAGGGCGCATGCTCTTTGGTGCTTTGCATATTCATGGATGTAGTTCATTTCCCAATCCTGATGAGTAGCCACTCTTCTTGATTACAGGTCCTAGTTTGGGAGTGACAGGCCTGAGGTGATTCATGCAGCTCTAAACTTTTTAGTGTTAAATCAGAGATAAAGTAATTTCTAATATTGGGAATATGGATGTAAATGGGATTTGGACAAGGCTGGGGATATAGCTCAGTGGTAGAGTGCTTGGTTAGCTTATGTGATTCTGTGCTGTAGCATGCCACCTTCCCAGTGTAAACAGCCATTGTCTTCATCAAAGCAGCTATCACTACTTCAAAGCAACACCTAAGATCAGACTTGTTGATTGTTGATGTTAACTCATAGAAGGGGGTGAGGAAGGGGTGAGGAAGGGGTGAGGAAGGGGTGAGGAAGGGGTGAGGAAGGGGTGAGGAGGGTCATCAGACACCTGATACATAGGACCTTCCTGCCTGCACCTCTCAGCCAGTTGTATGTAATTCTGTCCTAAGTACACGGGGCTTTGTGCACCCATGGGGGACTTGTCATTCATGCTGGGGTAAGACTTTCCATGCTTTGAGGTCCTTCATGCTCTTTTAAGTAACCCCTCACTGTACTCTATAAGCTCACTGTTCCCTCAAGTTGGACTCAAAACATTTGGTTTGTCCTTGAAGTCCTGTAAGGAGGGCTAGCGGTGAGTGTGTATGTAGGAACCCTCCATACACACCCAAGGAAAGAGTTACTGCAATGCTTGGTGTGGTGGAACCCAAGCTGAGTTTGGAAGAGCAATGCCTGTCCCTTCCCCAACCACTCCCCCTCCCATGGTGGCCAAGGAGCCAGACAACTGAAGCTAAGCTGTCTGATGGTGGAATGTCTCGATATGGCTGTCTTTCTCTGTGGTATGAAATGATGTACCCCCTTACTGTCATAGCAATCACAATGTCCCTGTTATGGGTGGTAAGGTAGGTAATTATAGCTGATCCTTTGGAGCTGAGATTTCCAGATGAGGAATCTTCTTGTCTATGGTATGGAGTGGCGTGCCTGCTTGATGAGTGGGAGTGAAGAATATACTGCAGTCCCTGAAAGAAGTATGTATGGGATGGGATCTCAAGCAGGCTGTGGCATCTGGTGCCTGGCTTTTCTTGTGGGAGCTAAGACATGCAGCCAAAGCTGAGCTGTCAGCCTAGAGAGAATTGCACATCCTAAGGGAGAAATTAAGACAAGAAAACGACATGCTGATGTTATCCACGGTGTCAGCCTCCGATTTGTCAAGTAAATTGGATGAAAGAGAAAAACGAGGTAGAAGTGTTTCTTTGTTGTTTCTTGGGGGTGGGGAGGCAGAAGAGAAAGAGCACAAATTAAATCTATGTTTAAAAACCCTTCCCGGTACTCAGAATTTTGAAACCCGTGGGAAGAATCAGATGGTGAGAAAAAAAATCAGATGATGAGATGGAGAAGTGGTAGAAAACACCTCCTCCTGGTGAGGAAGGGAGAATCCGTGATTCAGCATGCAGATGGAGACCTTAACAATGTCTCAGTCCAGGAGACTGTTAATCAGGGAATAGTCCATGCCTGACCTGCTTGAATTGCTCTAGTATACAGGGCGTGGGAGCAGGAATGCCATCTAAGCAGCAATGGGGATTCTTCATTTATTCTGGGGTGAGATATTATGGTGGTGCAGCCCCTTTGAGGTAACCCATGCGGACATAGATGTTGAAGTGCTTCAATTCGTACTCATGGTAAATTTAGAACTCACATTTATTTGGTGGCTTTGGGAGTCTAGAGATATAATTATAATGACAATATCTTGTGTTCTCTCACCGCACTTTGAAGTTTTCAGAGTGCTTGTTACCACTGATTCATGTGATTCTCAGAAGCGTTGTGAAGGTAGCCTGTAAATGTGATGGGTAAAGGAAGGCACAGAGGGTTAGACCGTGAGGTTGAGGCCACCTGCCTTGGGGATAGGAGCAGGATCTGGACTCTGGCACTCTGGCCTTTCACCTCTCTACTCTTCCCTGCTGTCCTCTTTTTGGGTCTCACCAAATGGTCAGGGAAGAGATTGATAATGTAGGAGAAACCAAAGTTGTTTTTTTTTTTTTTTAAATTAAAAAGTATAAGAGATTCATTGGCTTTGAATCCAGTATTGGCCTGGTCTAGCTGTGAGGAAAGGTAAGATTCAGAATGCTATGTGAGGCACAGGGTCATGGTGGATGAAGGGAATAAGTCTAGGCAGACAAGGGTGTCATAGGTTCTCACCTATGCACAAATATCTTTCAGCCATCTCCTCTGCCCTTTGCCCTCTGTGACATCATGCTGTCCCCTAGTCTCTG